GCCGAGGCCGGGCCTGCTCCTGGCAGACAGGGCCCCCTTCCCAGGACGCAGCCTAGAGAATCCCACATTCATAAACATACATTTTAAAAAAACAAAACAAAAACACCAGCCGGCATTTATGGAGCTTTTCTGAAAGTGCTGTGAGCTCCAGAACGGGGTCCCCCGAGACTCCCCCGCCAACTCAGTGTGGGAAAGGCTTCTCTGAGCCCCGTTTTGCAGGAGGGAAAACCAAGCTCAGGAAGTTGAAATAAATTGTCCACGGTCGCACAGGAGGTCGCACAGACTCGCATTATACTGAGTCTGAGCACAGCTCAGGCTTCTCTGTGCACCTACTATGTGCCAGGTGCTGTCCTAGAGATCGGGACAGGGCAGTGAACAGAACACAGCACTCTCCACCCTCCTGTGGCTGCCAGTGCAGTGGGGGAGCCAGACGTGGGCAAATAAACACCTAAAATAAAGTGTCAGCAACACAAAGTAAAGTGGGGAGAAAAAAAGCAGGGGGGTTGGGGAGTGACAGTGGTGGGGGAGAGCTCTGTGAGAGGGGTGGGAGGGCAAGAAACAGTCCATAGGATGGTGAGGAAAGGTCTTTCTGATGGTGGGAGCCCTGGGCATCCGAAGGAAGGCTGCTCCAGGCAAAAGAAACAGCATGTGCAAAGGCCCTGAGGCAGGAGCATTCTTAGCTAGCATTTCTTTTTTCTTTCTTTAAAATAGATTTTTATTGATTTAGGAGAGAGAGGGAGAGGTGAGAGACAGCTAGAAACATCCATGACGAGAGAGAATCTTTGATTGGCAGCCTCCTGCACGTCCCCCACTGGGGACCCAGCCGGCATGGGCCCTGACTGGGAATCAAACCTTCGCCTCCTGGTTCATAGGTGGGCACTGGCTGCGCTTAGCTAGACTTTCTTAATCATTTACTATAGGTGGCTCTCATGCATTACTTTTTCCATTCCTTTCTGCCAGTCCTGGAATCTGTATAATTCCCCTTTCCCACTGAGGAAATTGAGGCTCAGAGCGGTTAAGAAGCCTATCCGAGGTCCTTCAGCAGGTCTGTAGTGAAGCTGGGGTTTGAACCAGGGTCTCTTGTACTCATAACATGATACACTGATGTGACACGGGCAAGGCCAGGTCTAATTCTCCATCTTTTAGCACAGATTGGCCAGGGCAGCAGGGGAGGAACAGAATGGAGGGAGAGTGTCAGATCAACGCCCAGCCTGCACCCGTGAGCGGTGCAATTCCTCCTGGTGGCTCACCTCTACGTGAAGATGCATGCAATAAAAATAGTACCTAACTTTTGTTCAGCCTTTATGCCGTGTTGAGCGAGCACTTTACATGCGTTCGTGTATTCAACCCTCATGTTAGCCATGTTACGGATGGAGAGATTGAGACACGGACGGAAGTATCCTTACCCAAGTGCAGACCTGAGATCTGAACCCTAGCACTTGCCCTCTAAACACAGGTAGGCAAGTACAGCGATGAAAATGATAGTAATGAAGCTGCCAGCGTATTACCTGTTAAAGCTCTTTTCGGCCTTGAAGGAGTTACTTGGTTATCCCCACTAGAGGAATGAGGAAACTGAAGTGGCAGACGGGGCAGCAGAAGAGAAAAGTAGAATTCTCCTGGTTTAGACAGTGCCCTCTCTCCACCCCGCAGCTGCAGCCTCCTGAGCTGGAACAGGCAGGGTCTGTAACCAGAAACTGAAGTTGGAAAGAAACACAAAGTCCCCCTTAAACATTGATAAGAGCATTGATTAGCCCAGTGGAAAAATGGGTAAAGAAATGATCGGAAAAGAAATCCCCACAGATTAGGAGATACTATCTGCAAAAGACATGGCTGGTCAAGAATGTGTATCCATAATATATAAAGAACTCTCAAATTCAATAAGACCACTAAGAAACGGAGCCCTAGCAGATCTGACTCCGTGGATAGAGTGTCGGCCTGAGGACCAAAGGGTCCCGGATTGGATTCCTGTCAAGGGCTCATACCTTGGTTGCAGGCTCCTCCCCGGCCCAGGCCCTGGCCAGGGCATGTGCAGAAGGCAACCAATCAATGTATTTCTCTCACATCAATGTTTCTCTCCGTCTTTCCCTCTCTCTTCCACTCTCTCTAAAAAATCAATGGAAAAATATCCTCAGGAGAGTATTAACAAAAAAATTTTTTAAAAAGAAATGGAGAAAGTATTTTTATATTGTATATCTTTACTAATTAAAATACATGGAGTGTGAATAAACACATGGAAGGATGTTCAACATCACTAATTGTTAGGGAAATGAAATGAAAATTGCAATGAAATACCACTAAATGCCCGATAAAAAAGCTAAAATCTAAAAGACTGGCCATACCAAGGGTTGGCGCAGACGTGCAGGAACTGGAACTCTTGGGCACTGCTGGTCAGAAGGCAAAATGTTGTAGCCACTTTGGAAAACAGTTTGACAGTTTCTTATTAAACAATCCAGCAACTGCACTCCAAGAGAAATGTAAACATATGCCCACACACAAACCAGTTCATGTGTCCCTGAGTGTTTATAGCAGTTTTATTCGTAATTGCCCAAACTGGAAACCATCTAAATGTCCATCAGAGGTGAATGGAATAGCCACATGGCGGTTCATCCACACAAATACCACTCAGCACTAAAAAGGCACTAACGGTTGACACACTGCGCCGCTGGAGAATCCCAAAATCATTATGCTGAGGGAAAGAAGTCAGACCGAAAGGGAGAACAGACCGTAGGATTCCATTGATACGATTTCTAGAAAATGCAAATTGGTCAATAGTGACAGGAAGCAGATCATCAGATTCAGGGGGTAGCGGGGAATGAGGAGGGAGAGGGAATTATAAGAAAGGACGTAAGAAACGTTGGGGGGAAATGGATATTTTCACTGTCATAATTGTGCTAGTCTCACAGGTGTATACCTGTGTCAAAACTCATCAAATTCTGATGTGTATATATGGCAGTTGATTGTATGTCAATTACGTCTTTGAGAAAGCTGTTAAACACACATGTGTGCGCATGCGTGTATACACACTACTCACCTCTTAGGATGGCTAAACTAAAAACTAACAACTGAAGATACCACGTGCTGACCAAGATGTGGAGCAACTAGAACACTCTCAGACATTTCTGGTGGGAATGCAAACTGGCACAGAGCTCTGGAAAACAACTGGGCAGTTTGTTATCAAATTAAACACAAACTTCCTATACAGCCCAACAATCCCACCTTAGGTCTTTACCCAAAAGAAATCAAACTTGCCTGGCCAGGGTGGCTCAGTTGGTTGAGCGTCATCCTATGCATCAGGAGGTCACCAGCTCAATTCCAAGTCAGGCACGTGCCTGGGTTTTAACTCAATTTCCTGTAGCGGGTGTGAGGAGGCATCTTCCCCAGGAGGCAGCCTGTGCTGAGCCAGCTCAGCCAAGGGTTCACAAGCCTGAGTGAGGGCGGCGAATGGATGAAGAAATGACTGACAAAGAGAATAAGCTGGGTCTAGGTGGATCTTCCTGAGCCTGGCTGAGGCCACAGAGAGAGATCCAGAGGCCAGCTGAGCCTTTCTTTTATAGCCAGAGGTAAACAGGTAGCGGTCACCATAGTTACAATGTTCTTGTGAGTTTCACTCCTTTTGGCAGAACTTGCTGCATCTCCCTCAGCCCATTAGCTGCCCAGATAGGACCTAGGGAGTGTCATAAGGTCGAGCCTAATTATGCTAAGAGGACTGTGCGCTGGAAGCTGGGACTTGTTTGCGGCTTTGCCAACAGGTCAGTCCGACCCTTAACCCTATGCCCGCGCCCTACAGCAGCCTATCGATGTTTCTCTCCTTCTCCCTTCCTCTCTCTCTAAAATCAATAAAAAAAATTTTTTTTTAAAAAAAAACTTATGTTCACACAAAAATCTCCATGTGGATGCTTCTGGTGGCTTTATTCATAGTCGCAAAAAAAAAACTAGAAACAGCTCAAGTGTCCATCAGCTGCTGAGTGAATAAGCAGCTGTGGAATAGTCACGCATATGGTAGAACAGAAATCAGCACTAAAAACGAACACAGTACACCCTGGCCGGCGTGGCTAGTGGTTGACCATCGATCTATGAACCAGGTCACAGTTCGATTCCCGGTCAGGGCACATTGCCCAGTTGCAGGCTTGATTCCCTGTGTGGGGCGTGCAGGAGGCAGACGATCAATGACTCTCATCAATGATGTTTCCCTCTCCCTTCCTCTCTGAAATCAGTAAAAACATATTTAAAAAATAAAAATAAATAAAAGTGAACACTGTATTGACGCACTCCGCAATGTGGTTGCATCCCACAGATTACTGTGCTGGCTTCTGCGGACTGGAATGTTGTTTCTTGTTTCCTGACCTGCCTGCCGGTTCCACAGGTAGGTTCACTTTGGAAAAGGCCTGGGCCCGGACACTTCTGATGCGCTCATCCCTGTGCAATTGTTAGACCTTTGTTAAAAGTTAGAAGAAGAAAAACAAAACAGAGTTCAGAGCGAAAAATGTGACGTCAGTCTTCCTCCTGCCCCGAGCCTCACCTGCAGGTCTCCTCCTCCACAGAGGCCCCTCGCCACAGATGCTAGCACATCTGTATTTGCTCTTTTTAAAAATATATATTTTATTGATTTTTTTTACAGAGAGGAAGGGAGAGAGACAGAGAGTTAGAAACATCGATGAGAGAGAAACATCCATCAGCTGCCTCCTGCACACTCCCCACTGGGGATGTGCCCACAACCAAGGTACATGCCCTTGACCGGAATCAAACCTGGGACCCTTCAGTCCGCAGGCCGACGCTCTGTCCACTGAGCCAAACCGGTTAGGGTTGTATTTACTCTTTATTTTTTGGTAGAGAGAGAGAAAGAAATTGATTTGTTATTCCACTTATTTATGCATTCGTTGGTTGCTTCTTGTATGTGCCCTGACCGAGGATCAAACCCACAACTTTGGGGTATCGGGATGCTGCTCTAGCCCACTGAGCTAGGGCTGTACTTGCTCTTGAAGTATTCTGGACGGGCCTCTACCTACAGAAATCCTTCCCTGCCCCTTGAGTCCCTACATTTTAATTTTTCTAAAAAGCCCTTTGAGAGGGTTGGGCTAGAAGAAGTCAATGGGAGAGTGGGGGGAGAGGGGATATGTGTAATACTTTGAACAATAAAGATTTTTTAAAAAAAATAAAAAGCCCTTTGAGGACAAAAGATGAGATAAGGACAATGCAGTCAGACAGGCCTAGGTTCAAATCCTGCTAGGCCATGATCACCCGGGGGGCCTGGGGCAAATGCCTCTTCCTTATGTGGCTCTGGCCTCCTCCTCTGTACCGGGCATGTGATAGTAAGAGCGCGCGCACCTCCCGGGGGCTGTTGTGATAACCTTCATTCCTGGCTCGGAACTGGTTGCTCCACCTCAGCCAAGATCCTGGAAAGCCTCTGGCTCCCACAGGCCGCGGTGGAGCGGGAGCGGTGAGTGAGAGAACTCGTCCGCCCTTCTCCACGCTCCCCGGGCTCTCTAGTGCCATCGCCTCCACTGAGGGCATCTACGGCTTTCTTTCATTCAGCAGATATTTACTGCGTGCCTGTTACGTGCCAGGCACTGTGCCAGGCCTCTGCCCGGGTGCTCACCATCCTCTGGTGGAGGGGCTCTGGCGGGGAAGGTGTGGGGCCAGGGAGGCAGTGGAGGAGCGGAGGAGCGGGGGCAGGCAGGGTCCTGAGTCTGCCCCCTCGCTTGCTGGCCTGAGGCTTCAGGACTCGGGCCCCAGGCCAGGGCTGAACACAGAGGTGGGGGTGGCTTCGGGGGCTGGTGGAGATGGCCGGGGCGGGTCCAGAGAGAGGAGAATTATAAACGTTTGTCTCGTCGTTTTCCTCGCTGCCTCTTCTGCCGAGACTCGGTTTTGTCCATCGGCACCACCACCCACCAGGCCCCTCTCCATGGCTCAAGCGCACATCCAGGAGCCGGGAGCCTTCCTCCCGATCAGTCACTCTCCACCTCGCAGCCCATGCACACTCTCCCCCGCCTTCCTCCCACCACTCTCCAACGGAAGCCACGGCCTGCAGGTGGCTCCTCTCTTGTCTCCCACTTCCTTTCAGCTCCTTTGGTCTGTTTCCCACACACAGCCAGAGGGAAGTCACTCCTCGGCCTAAAATCCCCTGGTGGGTCCCTACAGCTTAGAATAAAGTGCGAACACCTGGCTGGTGGGCCCCTGCCCACCTCTCCCACCCCATCTCCCGCCTCTAGCCCACCTGGCTCCCCTGAGCCACACTGGCTTCCGTGTCTCTTCTTGAGTACACCAAGCGCGGTCCCACCTCAGGGCCTTTGCACTTCCTCCTCCCTCTGCCTTCAGCTTCCTCCTCCCACTGACTTTCTCTCTGTCTGGCGAACTCCTCTCCTTCAGCACCTCTGGGAAGGGTTCCTCGAATGTCCCCTCACTGGACTGTCAGCTCTCCGGGGACAGGGACTGGCCTACCTGGGTGCTGCCGCATCACTGGTGCCTGGAACAGGGCCCCACACGCATAGGGGCTCGGTGCACGTGTGCTGGATGCAGACAGGACTGAGCTGGTGCTATGGCATGTGTGCACAGCTGGAGCCACAGACCTGCCCTTTGCCAGAGAGACCCAGATGGGAGAGTCTCAACTGAGGCCCATCAGGGGCACTCCTTCCCAAGATAGTGGGTCCCACCAGCAGACATCAACCCGCCTGGGACAAGGCAGACCCTGGTTCAAATCCTGGTGCCGAAGCAAAGACCCCAAACACCCACTCTTTTATTTCCCAAGAGGAAAACTCATCTGACTTATACTTTATATATGGCAGCCTATCGTATGTCGGTTCCCTCTTGAGAAAACTGTGATATACTCGTACACTAACCTACTACATGGGCTGAAATACAGAATAAAAACCAAAAATAACAAAGTGCTGGCGAGGATGCAGTACAACTGGAACTCTTCCATTCATCGCTGTGGTCCCCACAAAACCTGTACAGGGATGTTCACCACAGCGTCTTCCTAAGAAGCCCGAAGCAGAAACAAATGTCCATCAGCGGACGGATGGGTAAACAGCACGGGGATAGCATCGGTGCAACGTTCATGGGATGGGAGAAGTTGGTTCTGACACACGCCACAGCATAGATAAACCTCACAACCGTGCTGCGTGAGGGGCCAGGCCCGAAAGGACACATGGGGCCCGTACGATCCACTATGTGATTCCATATTTGTATGAAAAGTCCATGGAGACAGAAAGCAGCTGACTGGTTCCGCGGGGGTGAGGGGAAGAGGAAACGGGCACGGCTGCTGAGGGACACGGGCGTCTTTTCCGGTGATGAAATGCTCTGGAATTAGATAGTGGGGATGGTCACAGCCTTGTGCACACACTGAAAACCGCTGCGTTGCACCCTGTAGGTGGATGGATTGTACAGTAAGTGAATTACGTCTCAGGGAAGCCGTTAAAAACACCTGGAGGAACCGATGACCTCACAGCTGCGTGTCCTCAGGAAAGTCCCCCGTGCTTTCTGAGCTTAGCTCTGCCTCGCTCACTCACCAGAGTGGCCTTCTCACGGCCAGTAAACAGCCTGCACGGTAAATATTTATACTCTCGGTGAATAACGGACCTGCGGGGGCTGGAGAGCGGGCCACCCATAGACACAGAGGCTGCGAACAGAGTTAACCCACGGGCAGTGCCCAGGGTGGGCTCCGAATGACATCCAGACATCATCCCGCTGCCCTCAAGAAAGCGACAGGCGGCCACGGTCATCACCACGTGCGACCTCCTTCATCCTGTGACATCGCCAGGTCTGGAACCTGGCTCTTCAGCATGTGTGTTTCTGTTTAGAAAAACAACAACAAAAACCCCACATGCCCATCGTAGAAAGTTCAGAGATACATGAGGAAGAGAATTCGAGCCCTGACCGGTTTGGCTCAGTGGATAGAGCGTCGGCCTGTGGACTGAAAGGTCCCAGGTTTGATTCCGGTCAAGGGCATGTACCTTGGTTGCGGGCACATCCCCAGTAGGAGGTGTGCAGGAGGCAGCTGATCAATGTTTCTCTCTCATCGATGTTTCTAACTCTCTATCCCTCTCCCTTCCTCTCTAAATCAATAAAATACTAGCATATTAAAAAAGAAGAAGAAGAAGAGAATTCGAACCCCAGCAACTCCGCCATCCACACAGAATGACCATGACCCTGGGCACACGTTTCCCTCTCTGTGAGGGCAAAGAGGGGTACAAATGAAGGAGCATTTTAAGCAAATGGCACCACAGATTTTTTTCAGGCTGCTCTGCTCGCGGATCCCTTCACCTGTCAGCAGGTGTCGGCACCTTTTGAAGTAAACACGTGAACATCCAGTTTATCCACGAACGTATCGACTGATTGATTGCAAACCAAGACATGCTCACTGTGGGGAAGCAACAATAATACAGAAGCAGAAAAGATAAAAATGCTGTAAGAAGGCAATGCCCTCACCTCAGCCAGTTGTGCAGTGGTTAGAGCGTCGACCTTCAGACTGAACGGTCCCAGGTTCCATTCCGGTCAAGAGCATGTAGCTCGGTTGCAGGCTCGATCCCTGGCCCCAGTCAGGGTGCATGCAGGAGGCAACCATCAATGTGTCTCTCTCACATCGATGTTTCTCTCTCGCTCTCTCTTACCCCGCCCCCACTCTAAAAATCAATGGAAAAACATCCTCGGGTGAGGATTAACAACAACAAGGCAATGCCCTCCTCTTCACCAGCACCTCAACCTATACCCCCCACCCCCCGCCGACAATCACTATGATCAGGGTACATGTCTTACACGTCCTTCTTTTTTCTTTTTAATATATTTTTATTGATTTCAGAGAGGAAGGGAGAGGGAGAGAGAGAGAAACATCAATGATGAGAGAGAATCATTGATCGGCTGCCTCCTGCACACCCCCTACTGGGGATCCAGCCCACAGCCCAGGCATGTGCCCTTGCCTGGAATTGAACCTGGGACCCTTCAGTCCACAAGGCCTTCTTTTTTCATTTCTTCCTGTCAACAGATATGCACTGAGTGCCCACCACTCGTTTGTTCTTTCTTTTGATCCTTCAAGAAATATTTGGGGTGCTTGTCACACGCCAGACACCTTCCTTTCTCTGTCCCTGTGCTGCACTCACAATACCTGTTTTGAGGTCTGTGTTGCCATTTATAACAGCCACAAAGTCCTCAGAACAGGCTGGGACCCCAGTGAGCACATCCAGTCCCCTCGCGCTGGGCATGTCGGTTGTTTACAGCATTCTGCTCTCTGAGAAGTTCTGGGGGGATGTGTTTATGTGCTTTTTATTTCATTATTGGATCAAAGGTTGAACAAGGTTTACTGATGTGTAAAGTGAGGCCTAGAGAAAGCAGGGACTCATCCAGGGTCTCGGAGTGAGGTATGGGTGGTTCTCAGATCCACGAAGAAAGGGTCGAGTTCCTCAGGAAAGCCCTTTGCCAGGCTCGGGCATTTTCCTGGAGGTAAAACTAGGTTTCTTTGTGCACCCCACAGAGTAACACATGGGGTTCACTTCTTGTTTCTGCCTTTCCAGCCCCCATAAAAGTGTTTCTTTCAGGCCATCGTGCCAGCTAAACAGAATGGGTTTGGGAGCACCGGCTGCCCTCACCTGAGGCCCTTCCAGCTTGTACCACAGCGGGGTGGTGGGCCCAGGACTTCCTGGGGAGTCTTCCAGCTCCCCTGTCACCCGGCCCCACTCCAGGCTCCAGGGGGCACAGGGTACCAGACCCTGGGGGTCAGCAGGCCAGCTCAGGCCCCAGACTTCCGTGAGGGCCTAAGGAAGGGTGAGGAGACTCAAAGGACATTAGGATTATTCTCTGTGTGGTTCTGGTGAAGTTCTCTACCCTCTGGAGCCTGGAGTCCCCTATTTGGAAAATGGGCATAATAATAGCCAGTGTTTACTGAGGATTTACTCTGCCAGGCCCGAGGCCAAGCAATCTGTAAGGATTCACTCTTTTAATCTGCACGACAACCCTGGAGAGGAGGAGCTACCCTCCAATGAGGAAATGGACTCAGGTTGAGGCAGCTTCACGCAGCAGGTAGGCAATGGAGGAGAGACTAAAGCCCGCACAGTCTGGCTCCAGAACTCGGCTCCTACACTCACACTGCCCAGGGCTGTTGTGAAGATTAAATCTGTGCAAACCAGGAAGTGAACCCTCACGAAATGTTTGCTGTCGTTATTATTGTTATTATTATTATTATTATTATTTGCCCGACTGATGGCTCTTTGCCTCACTGGTCTTTATTTCCTTCAGTTGCTGGAAAATCCAGACAAGACATTGCCCCGATCCCCTCCCTCACTCTTCCAATCCACGAGTTGCCAAACTTCCCTACATCTCTGGCTCCACCCTTCCCTCCATCTCATGGGCCGGCCAGGCCACCGGGAC